AACTCTTACAGAACAACAACAAACGTAGATTGGCAAATTGATTTTCGCTTCAATAAAGCCTTTGATTCGATTGGGCACCTGGGTACACTAGAAATTACTAATACTGAATGAGATATTCAGAAAAAATAATAGAAAAGAAAAGAAAAAAAATCGGTTTTTGGTCAATAAATTAATTAAGTTCTGCTTTTAGCTTACAAAGCTTTAGGTGGGGGAGATTAGCGACAAATGGAGAAGGCTTATGGAAGAAAGTTATTGTGGGTAAATATGGGGGGAGGGAGGAGGACATTGGCTTGATTGGGTGAGAGATGGGAGAAGGGTAGGCTCAATATGGTGGAGAGATGTTCATGCCCTTAATATGGGGGATGGGATGAATGTAGGATGGTTGTCAGAGGGATTTAGGATAAAGGTAGGAGAGGGGAAAAGGGTGAGTTTCTGGTGGGATGAGTGGTGCAGGGAGGGCTGCCTTGCTAATAAGTTCCCTAGATTGTATTTATTGTCAACAGGTAAAGAGAAAGAATGCTACCAAATGGGTAGCACTCAAAGCGACACATGGAAATGGAACCTATCATAGAGAAGAAGCCTATTTCAATGGGAAGAAGAGGAGGCAAATGAGCTCTGCAAGATGATAGAGGAGGTGAAGATCTACCCAAGATGCCCAGATGAATGGGAATGGAGGCATAGTAAGGATGGCCTATACTCAACGTCAATTGCGTACGAGATGTTAACAAAAGATGAAAGGGGACTGGTTGAAACAAAATTCTTCAAGAGGGTATGGAATCCTATTCTCCCAAGTAAAATTGCTGCGTTTAATTGGAAAGTAATGATGGATAGAATTCCAACCAAACTGAATTTGTTCAAGAGAGGAGTCATCAAGGACATGGAAGATGGGAAATGCACATTGTGTGAGGTGGAGGACGAGGACATCAATCACTTGTTTTTGAATTGCAATGTAGCTAGGTGGTTATGGATGGCTTGTGCTAATTGGTGGGGGATTACCATCAAGTTAGATAAGGAATGTAGGAAAACCTTTGAAAATTTCGGGACATGGACTAAACAACTAAGCATCAGAGAAGGATGAGATTGCATCTGGAACACAATGGTCTGGTCCGTGTGGCTTGCACGAAATCAAAAGGTTTTCCAAGATTCGGAGGCAAATAGGGGTAAGATATTTGAACTTATTCAATTGAGATCTTTTGTATGGATTAAGGCAAAGAAAGTTAGGTGTTACTTCAATCTTTCAGACTAGTTGCAAGATCCAATTTCATGCCTTACTACAAACTGTGGGGGGAATTGACTAATTGGAGAAGGATAGGTTTGAAAGATGGGGGTAACTTGAATTGGCTAGTATTTTTGCGTGTTTGTAAATGGGTTTGAGTACCCCTTGTACTCAGTTTCTGATTAAAAATATTATTTGGATTTTCAAAAAAAAAAATTGTTATTGTATATGACAATAATAAGTGTTAATTTTAGAACCTTATTTTTCACTATCTATAGACTGTTAATGAAAATTTCACTTTTTGACTCTTCTTTCTCCATTAGAGAGGCAGAGAAGCCATGTGAATCTCATACTTTAAAGTATTCCAAATTTGTTGCAGTTATTAAAGAAAGATACACTGA